CTAGGGAGACCAGAGATTCCTGAACCTGAGGAAACCTAGACTTGCTTTATTTAGGGCTTTAGCACTGCAGAGAAGGCTTGGCAGTGGGGAAAATAATGTGGTTCAGGGACTGTGAGACAGACTAGGACGAACTGTACAGTCAGTCAGTCCAGCTATCTACTGCCAAGCGTCAGCATTACTTCGCCTCCTTCCCCAGGTAGCCTCTATCGGACTCAGTAAATTATGTGCAAGTCGTTAGCCCTGCCCCACAAGTTGTACATTAAACAATACAGACTTCCATTCTTTGTTGACACTACGTCTCGTGTTGTCCCAAGAGCTAGGGAGGTTTTGCACACGTTCAAAGGACCCATATTAAAAGAATTTGAAAAGTAATATTTAAAACAGAAGAAGCTTATTCATCATAATATGAGTGTTGAGTACAATGGAAGTTTCACAATTAATGTATGATCCTTTAGTCTTTTAATGCAGATATTTAAAAAACTATCGCGAAAACATATTTAAAAAAAATAAACATTTATTAGAAGCGAACCTTCATTAAGACACTCGTACTCTTGTCCTTAACATGGACACTGCTTGTAGGATATGCACTGAAAAAAGTACTCTCCATTACATTAGCAACTCACCATTCCTTATAAATAATGGTACTGGTGAAGAGCAGGGTTAGAATGATCAATATCTTCAGCAACCCGTGCTAGTCGTAAAAGGCGACTAACAAGATCGTGTGATCAGGTTCGATGACTTGGATGATACTCTGTCGTATCTCAATCGCTTAAATCAATGCTCATGCTGTTGATCACAAGATTGTCTCGTCCAGACTGGTTATTTCAGACCACATAGGTGGAATATTGCTGAGTGCAGCGTTAAACAACAAACAAACAAACAAACAAAATTATACACAAAGGAGACCTAAAATTATAGAGTGACATCAAAATAATATTATGATAACAAATCAAGGATATGAGGTACCTGTCAAATGGTTACCTTAATGGTAAACCACAGATATGTGGTACTTTTTAAACGTTTACCGTTAAGGTGAGTCAACGGACATGAGGTTCTTTGCAAATGTTTACCATTATGAAGAAATCACGAATATGAGATACTTTGCAAATGTGTACCTTGATGGTGAAACCATTGATATGAGATCATACTTAGTGAATGTTCACCATCATGGTGAAACCATTGATATGAGATCATACTTAGTGAATGTTCACCATCATGGTTCACTTAGTGAATGTTCACCATCATGGTGAAACCATTGATATGAGATCATACTTAGTGAATGTTCACCATCATGGTGAAACCATTGATATGAGATCATACTTAGTGAATGTTCACCATCATGGTGAAACCATTGATATGAGATCATACTTAGTGAATGTTCACCATCATGGTGAAACCATTGATATGAGATCATACTTAGTGAATGTTCACCATCATGGTGAAACCACGGATATGAGATATGAGATCATACGGATATGAGATTAGTGAATGTTCACCATCATGGTGAAACCACGGATATGAGATCATACTTAGTGAATGTTCACCATCATGGTGAAACCATTGATATGAGATCATACTTAGTGAATGTTCACCATCATGGTGAAACCACGGATATGAGATCATACTTAGTGAATGTTCACCATCATGGTGAAACCACGGATATGAGATCATACTTAGTGAATGTTCACCATCATGGTGAAACCACGGATATGAGATCATACTTAGTGAATGTTCACCATCATGGTGAAACCACGGATATGAGATCATACTTAGTGAATGTTCACCATCATGGTGAAACCACGGATATGCGATCATACTTAGTGAATGTTCACCATCATGGTGAAACCATTGATATGAGATCATACTTAGTGAATGTTCACCATCATGGTGAAACCACGGATATGAGATCATACTTAGTGAATGTTCACCATCATGGTGAAACCACGGATATGAGATCATACTTAGTGAATGTTCACCATCATGGTGAAACCACGGATATGAGATCATACTTAGTGAATGTTCACCATCATGGTGAAACCACGGATATGCGATCATACTTAGTGAATGTTCACCATCATGGTGAAACCACGGATATGCGATCATACTTAGTGAATGTTCACCATCATTTTGAAACCACGGATATGCGACACTTTGTAAATGTTCACCATACTGTTAAACCATGGACATAAGCATCATAGAATAATGATGATATTACGATGAGCAGTTACACCAGTCCTTACCTGGACATGACTAAATGTTTTACAATTATTTCATCCACTGTTATTTTGGCCCATGAACCATGCAACGAACCTCTGCACCAGCTGTAGGCCTTTTGCCTGACATCCCTCTCGCTTACAACACCGCCTTCCATTGTCAACTCGCCTCTGCGAATACCGAACAGTGAGGCCAGTATACGTAGAATCTTCTTCCACGTGCTTAACAATATAGGTAGCATAGTCAATCCAGGGAGGTCAAAGTTCGCGGGCAACACCTGGCCCAGATGAAACTGGATTAACACAAGCATTGATATAGCTGCTCTTAAACACATATCACTATATCATAAAATAGGAATATAAATTGCTGCAATTATTTCACAGAGTTCCAATAATGGTAGTGGTTGTCATTTAAAGATGAAAAAAGTTAAGTCGACATGTATCTGAATACAAATATATGCTCACCGATAGTGTTAATACATCATATTCATGTTTTATGAAAGAAATATTCATTGCAGCTGACCATCAATTGTTTTCACGCGACCATACACACAGGGCTAAAAATGCTTATATATTAGCTGCATTTACCAAACAAATTAACTGACCACAACATATAACAGTATGGTTTTGTTTGTGTACCATGAAGCTTCTGAGTGAAATCAATACATTGCGATGCAACTTTGCATGATACAACATTTATGAGAACCCGTGAAGATCCGAGTTAAAATTAGTCTTCAGCAAACCAGGTTTGTCGTAAGAGGCGACTAATGGGGTCGGGGTCAGGCTTTCTGACTTGGTTGACACATGTCATTGTATCCCAATTGCATAGATTGATGTTCGTTATGATGACTGTATGATTCATTGGTCTTTTAGACAATGAACTATGTTAAACAATTCCTTTTTAGGGAAAGGACAGTTACGAGGATACCCCTCTACTTAAATCAAATTTTATGTGCATGGCGCTGGTATTAAATTTCGCCATGTTATGGTCAGTCGAAAATCGTTTTGCTAACGTTTGTAGATTTGGTCTATTGTTTAGTTGTATACTTTCTTTTGTCCGTCAGTTTAGACACACGTCTGGCCCTCGCAAACATTGACGTCCAAATCGAGATGTCTGATGACCATTAGTGAAAATTCAATACTTTGGTGACAATTTTCAGAAAAGTCACGTTTAGATAAAAAAAAGTTGTAATTTTTTTATGAAATCCAATTTGCAAATGTATGTATACTTCCTTTTGCCTGACAGTTGAGTTGGGTAACGATGGAACGTAACGTGACGGACGCAAGTGTAGGGTATGACGACTTCATGGTGGTCGGGAACATCTTGACACTATGCTTGACGTCATCACCTTTATCATCCATATGGTGAAACATAAACAGTGTCTTATATATCATATGTGCACATATCACTTTTGCCTAGCAACCATTGTTTCTGTATTTCGTCGTCTGTGACGTCATTAAACAACTGAACATGATTTCAATAAACAGGGCCGACACACTTGCTTATGGTGTTTTACTGCACAAATATACATGAAGAAAATGGATAATAAAGAAATTATTACAATCGAGCAAGTGTGTCTTATGACTTCTACGAAACCCGTGCAAAATTATGCATTGCGCTCGCTCTCGCAATACAAAATCTCACACTCGTTTCGTATAAGTCGTATGGCACACTTGTGTAATAATCTGTATATATCACACCTGAATACTGTATATAAAATAATGATTACATGTATCTCTATCAGTTTCTTTACTCATCCATTAAAACCTAAAATGGCTTTATGCCAGATACATGTATAAGCCTGTAACATGAGCCTACTTTATGGCATAGTGCCCGAAAACAAGAAACACGGGACGTTATTGCTTATATCTTTGAAAGAAGCTTTTGACACTGTTTCTAAAATCTTTATAATGATTTGTTTTGTGGTTAAAATTAGGAATATAATTGTCAATCCTGTTCAATTTCGCTAGTTCATTTATTGGCCATATCTCCTCTTTTTTATGAATGAAAGAGGTTGCAGACAAGGAGGTCCTTTATCATCCTATTTGTTTTATTTCACACGACTCTCAGCAATATTCCAGCAATAATCATAAGAAATTAAGTGAGTTTTGTCCAGACAATCCAATAATTGTTTACTTGTTCAGCTGCACTCATTACTATTCCATCTGTATGACAGAGATATGCAAACACGTTAAATTGTGTATAGACATATAATTTTTAATTTTCTTTTTTAGCGCAAACTTTTTTCTATGACTTTTAGTAGCTTGTATATATTTTAGATTTAGTCTCTCATAATTCCATAAGGAATGGTGCATGTGCTTTTGCTGGTCATTTGTTATTTTGTTCTATTTTTTTCTATATTGTACATGCAGTGAGACGTTAATAAATTATCTGTCTACCTAGTATTATTCTGTGAAGTGAGTAAATTCTGACTTTACGAGTCAGCCAACAGTCATGACAAATCAAGTTTGTACAATCAGTGACTGATATCATGGGTAAGGATGACACACAGTGAGTAGACATAGTGGTCACAAGACTGTATTGACCATGGTCCATGCAGTCACCATCACTGGATGTAGGACATTGACCACTTTATACAATGTGTCCAGAGACCACCCTTGGATATCGCATGTTTTGATCATACATTGACCATAATTACTGTCTCAACCAAACTGACAGTGTGAAGAATCACAGAACTATATGCCAAAACAGAACACACTTTGTATCCACTCAAAAATCTTCAAAGGATACAAAGATAAAAGATAAAAGAAAGCAGCAAGATTGTTAAAGGAATTAATTGAATTTTATTCATGAACAAAATCCACTTTTTTATATAAAATTACACCATTTTGTTGTAAAGCAAGCATAATAAATCCATGTCACTGTAAATGAGAGCAACCAAAAGCATTATTCCTCGATATATATATTCTATAGTAATCACAGTTTCTATTTAACACAAATGATATTTTCATCATAACAAATTGTTGTATTACTCCTGTACTTACAGTATAATCCAGAATTCAGTTCAGCCAAAAACGTCACCCCAAATATATCACATTAAAATTATACCTAACACACATTTTCACAAAAATGCACAGAAAAATAAAATTTGTGATCTGTAAAGGTTGACTGTTTTATTGATATGATATTGGATTTGATAACCAAATACTACAAGACTTGCTTTCTTCCTCATGCCAGTCAACTCCTCATGCCAGTCAACTCCTTCTGACAATCAGCTCCTTCTGTCAATCCTCTCCTGACAATCAACTCCTTCTGTCAATCTGCCCCTTCTGACTATCAACTCCTTCTGTCAATCTGCTCCTTTTGACAATCAGCTCCTTCTGTCAATCAACTCCTTCTGACAATCAGCTTCTTCTATCATTCAACTGCTGTCAATTAATGCCTTACAACAATCAACTCCTTCTTTCAATCCACACCTTACAATGAACTGTCAATCCACTCCTTACCACAATGAACTCCTTCTGTCAATCCATTCCTTACAATGAACTGTCAATCCGCTCCTTACGACAATGAACTCCTTCTGTCAATCCACACCTTACAATGAACTGTCAATCAGCTCCTTACAACAATCAACTCCTGTCAATCCATTCCGTACAACAATCAACTCCTTGTGTCAATACACTTCTCACGACAATCAGCACCTTCAGTGAATCACCTCCTCATGTCAATCAACACCTTAAAACAATCAACAAAATCTGTCAATCCACTCCTTACGACAATCAATTTCACAGTACACAACCCTGTGCACTTAAAAGAACCCACAAATCTGTTGGTATATGACCAGATGGTGGCCACAGGAATACGTGCAAATACCTAGTTGCGGGTACTGCAACTGCAGCGAACTTGGACAACGTACTGTGACTATGTGTCCCAGTACATCCAGCTGTGAATGGGTACCTCGTTAGGATGAGAAGCCACAATAACTCGGTGCGCCTAGTGGCTGCAAGTGTTGTATACTCCCCAGGGAGTTGAGATTGATAATACGATGTGATGTTGAGATAGACATCCAATGATCGAGGGAACAAATACCAACGCCTTGAGCATGCACTAGTTGCCTGGATATGTGCGCTATATAAATATTCTATAATAAATAATTTCTTCTGTCAGTCCACTCCTTATGACAAAGTCAATCAACTGTGTATGTCAATATGCTCCTTGTGTCAATAATGTCTAAAAGTCAGTTTACAAATTTCTTTTTGATACGGCTCTTCAATGCATTAAGTGTTAATGGTGGAGGGATAATAAAATGCATAAAATCATATGAATAATTCATTTCAATATCTTTATTTGGTATTTTAGTAAGTGTAAGATCAATGAAGATGAAGCAAGCACCGAAAATGTCACAAGATTTTGGACTACGTAACCACAAAGACTGACTGCATGAGAGGGTATTGTTTTACACTACATTAACCAACATTTCCGCAATGTCATGACATTTGACATTACAACTGGTATTCACATTAGGGGAATCAAACCTGGACCTTTGGCATGACAAGACGATGGTTTATCCACAAGGCTACCCTGAATCCCAAACTTAAATTGATGTTGAAATCTGAAATTTGTGCAGTTTGGGGTTAGTTTCTCAATAAGTAAAGGAATACATAATTAGTGCCTGAGAGGAAAAAGGGGCTAATGTCATTACACTTTCTACAAAAGTTCTGTGATACTATTTACAGCATATGAGATAAATATAAGTCATCATGATCTAATATATACATACAGCTCCTATTGAAAGCACATCACATTGCTTCTTTCTACAGCTACAATAGGTGCCAGAAAAAAGGGATTTGATACAAAGAATCCATGTTTGTCTACACCAGAGACCATATAATAGATATAATCTATTATATGGTCTCTCTCTACACACACTTCAAGAGGATCATTTCAAGCTTGACATGATTACTCTGACAAATATTCATCAACTATTCTCCAAATAAACACTCTTAATATGTTATAAAATAAAAAACATTTCTCTTGGCTAATTAGTGTAACGATTACTTGAGTATTTCTATTAAAAATTCGTTATTTTAACAGCTGTTAAGGATAACCATGAACTGCATAAAGGGAGGCAACCACTGCATGTGATGGAAACATTGATAAGGCACATAGAACAGGGGAGATAATTAGATGACACATTGAATGACACACCACTAATTAAAGTACCTTCTGCCTGATTTCGAGACACAATAATGACCCTCATAACTCTCATATTTGAACATTATTACAACTATGGCATGCTGAGATTCTTGATCAGAAGCCTAAAACTTATCAGAGGCAATTGTCTTCCAAGTTATACTGTCCAGATTTAGCTAACCACATTTACATGATCTCCTTGCATGTTACTTAAAGTAAGAGATTAGCAGTTGTGAACACCAATATTATTTCATATTGATAGATCTATGCGTTTTACAGGCTAAAACAAAAGTTTATCTCAGAAAAAGAATCATTATCATAAAATTAATGATAATTATCATCTATCAGAATTGATTTCTCATTCTTTAAAGTTAACCGAACACTACACACAATCTTAAATGATCCATGGATATCACAAAAATGTATTGATATGCCGACAGCTGTAAACCTTTCTAAATAACATAAGTCAAATGGTGTTTTTTCAACAAATCAGGCAAAAATGATAATAATCAAGATCAACAGAATCAACACCGGGAATATTACATGTTTCATATCAATCTTAGACTAGAAAAAATCACAAAAATGGTTTATAATCATAATCATAAAATAATCATCAAGTTCTCTCTTCCTGCAAAGGTGTAATTGCACTGTTTTTAATAGATTTTTACAAATTGCACGAAATTGAACAAAAAATGATCATAACATTCATCAAATATTTCCAAACCATCAACAAATGATTCTTAAATGATTCTTCTAATGATTTAAAAAGTTCTAACTGATAAATGATTGCAAACCAAATCCTCCAGCATAAGATGATAAGATAGGTGGGGTCAGCACCAATTATAACAGCATCGTTCATATTCTCATTCTTTAAAGTTAGCCGAACACTACACACAATGCCGAACACTACACACAATCTTAAATGATCCATGGATATCACAAAAATGTATTGATATGCCGACAGCAATTATAACAGCATCGTTTATACTACACAAATAAAGTTACAGAACACCCAATTTGTTATGATGACTTTTGTTATTCAATCATGGCCATAATATACAGACACAGGCGGTCCTCATGTTTTTGGAACTAATATACTCTTCAAAAGAATTTAAAGAACATGTGGGTATTCATCTTAGTTCATAAGTAACTTTTATTGCAATGATAGATGAATTACAGATATGACAAAATTGAATGTTCCTTAACTTCTTTTGAGCTGGATATATCAGAAATCTTCACTTGAATCCAAATCCGAAGTACTGACAGATATGGAATTATTCAGACAGATGACAGTTGGGCGTATCTGTGATAGAAACTGAACATCAGCAGATTCTTTAACTACTAAGGGCCGCAACTCTGCACAGAGAGATAAGGCATGAGGAAATGTCCGATGTCCAGAAGGATGCTAACCAGAGAGCATGAAAGCAACATATGCAAGCACCTTGCAACACAGAAGTGACAATCAACAGGAATTGTGCAAAGGTAAGTAAGAAAGGATGTAACATTTTTCCGGAAATGCATTCAGATGACTTCACATTAGTACTACGTTTGCTTGAACTCGATTCAAAAAACATTTCTAAGAAAATTCAACACGTCATATCATTATCATAGATTCCAGGTTGTATCAATCTTGGATAGCTAAAAATCAATATACATCTTACAGGATCCTGTAATTGATTATTAATCATCTTCAGTTAGGATTAACAAAATATCAGATGATTATTCACTATAATATCATAAACAATGGTTTGGGAAATTCTAAAACATTTAAAAACAATCTTAAAGCTGCAACATTCATTTACATGATAGCATGCAGTGTTTACATAAAAACTGAATCCATCGGGTTGAAACTTTCATCTACAATCTCGCACTGTCACCACAATAACTGTATTAAAAATACAGCACATTTGGAAAATTTCCAATTTAACTTTTCCCCAAAAATTTAAAAAATAATATCCCCGTAGTATTCGGAGGTTGTCATTCGAAAGTGGTCTCTGAAAAAAGCATGCTTATCATTGGTCCTTACTGAGGATTAAATTCTTGTAGAAATCTGTATGTCTGATATTGACTGGAATGATTATTACATACTAAAGCACATGTAACCATGGCAACTATAAATGGCATTTTTCATAAATGTACAAATAATGATTCATCAACATTCAATCTTCATAATTTCTAGATTATATGCAGGATTGAACCAGCGTTTAAAACTCCCAAAATTCCAAGACAGCCGGACTGGTAACTTTTAAAAAATACCAGTCTGGATACAAACTTGCCTGTCCGGTTTTCAAAAGTGAACTGAAAGTACACGTGTTGTGATTGGTTATCGTACCGGTAACATGAACTGTCCAATCGTAAGTAGTTTAACATAATTATCATAATACCTTAAACAACCTCAAACTGACGACAAGAGAACCTGTCTGATATTAGGAAATATTTAGTGTTAGGGGTAAAAATATCTACCAGACCACAGGACAGGCTACTTTTGAAATTTGACCGTCCGAGATGAAAATAGACATGTTTCGGATGGTCGGGCAGGCAGGAATTTTAAATGCTGATTGAAGGCATTAGTTTCATATGTCATTTGTTATTCAGAACTGACCGCGGAAAAAATCTATATATTACACAAATGAATTATGATACCAGCAAACACTATTTGTTACACAACTTAGCAGACAATAACTGATGCCATTTCTTTAATGTTTTGAACGTAATGTTTTGACTTACATTAAGTCAAAGAAAACATCTAAAGAGTTTTCATTTTTGTTAAATTGTCTCTTAAAATAACATAGTAAGGAGCATGAGAATCTCTTAATTTTTCTGAAACTGACGAAATCTATCCTTGCCAAAGTATTGTGGATACTTGAGATTTTTATTATTATTTTTGTTTCAAGTCTGTTTGTTAGAGTAACTGAAAAGGTAAATGCTCCAAAAATTTGAAACATATTTTCCGTTCTTGCTACAGAAAGTTTGCTGGCACTTATCACAATTGGCACCGAAGTCTTTTCTGGTTATTTTACTAAAAACATCCCGAAAACCTGGCTGCTATATTAAGTATGGCTATTCACATCTTAGCACATAAAACCTGTGAAAAAAGCCCAGAAAAATAAGAAATGGTCCTTCCAAATAAATTAAATATAAATACATGTAACAAAAATAAACATCATAAATAAATGCTTCAGCTTAGGCAAACATTTGAAGTGCTCAGAATAGTATGATATGATATTTATCAAATGATAATTCCGGATGAAACATCCCCAATCTGAGGCAGTGATATGTGCGATAACAAGAACCTTTCTTATTTCAAATGATGAACACTGACTGACTGACTGAGTTTAGTTTTATGCCGCTTTTAGAAATATTCCAGCAATATCACGGCGGGGGACACCAGAAATGGGCTTCACACATTGTGCCCACGTGGGGAATCGAACCCGGGTCTCTGGCGTGACGAGCCAACACTTTAACCACTAGGCTACCCCACCGCCCCTCAAATGATGAACAAAGCCGACAACAATCATTATGTAGCTGCTGTTATCAAACAATTACTCTTATAGAAGCCTATTTATTCCTAGCTACAGTGCAAATAAATCATATATTTTGATTAGCATTTAATAATCCTGAGTTGTGTTCGCACAAAGCCATTTTGCAGTTTGATAACTTGGTATTTTCCAAGGTGGTCCAGCACCACATACAGATCTTACGCTACAGCTGTAGTGAGTTGCCTTTCTCGCAGCACTCAATCACTTTAGAGAACAAGGCCATGCCAAGACTGTAGTAAAAAGGTCTGTGGTAAAAAAGTACCGGTAAAAAAGTCTTTTTACTGATTTAGTTATTTATTTGACATCAAAGATAAAAAAACAAAACATATAGAAATCACATATAATGACTGATTAAATTTTTTAAATGATGTTTGAACTTTTAAGCAGCATTCCATGATGGAAGTCATTCAGACCAGCATGGATGGGTTGAAGCTGGTCTTAGATGGCCATATGTACACCAAACACTGTCTGGGAGACCACTGAATGGTTCCATAAGGAACCGATGACTGTAGCAGTGAAAGTCAGTACGCCTAGACTATCTCATGTCATCATGTGATGTATTATGTAACTGATAATGTAAACTGTCGTCATTTTGTATGATTTTTATATCAACATTCAACACGTCATTATGTCATAAGACTTTTACGTTTGTTGTATGCGTGACAATGAAAAAATACAAACTAAAAAAGCATTGTTTTTCTATACAATTTTTGTTAGAAAAGGAAAAGGGGATTTTTTTCGGTGGACTTTATTACCTAGGCAAATTTAGGACGTTTTTACCGGTACATTTTAACTAAACACCATCTACAGTACTTAACCTTATTTCACAAATCCACAGAGCAACAGAAGTGATGTGTGGGTGACGACAACTTGAGTCCCGAGTCATCACCAGTTCATCACCTGATTTGTAAACATATAGCAGCTAACCCACAAATCCGCACATTTAGAACCGTGAAGTATTGACAAGATTGGAAAGTGTGCTGGGAAAGTATGCCATTTTCTGTCTTCAGTGACACAGTTACAGTTAATAATTCGAAATTTGTTTGAACAACTTGAATCAATCTTTGTGTCTAGTTTCATGTTCAATGTAGGTAGCCCCCACCCCCCTCTTTCAATTTGTTGATATCCTCAAAAAGATCTTACCAATCCTAATGAAAAAGGATGAGGTGGAAAATCTATTAGGCAATAGAAATTGATACTCCCCCAAGATTGAAAGACTTACAATTTTTTCGTACTTTTGACCTGTGCCTACCATGACAATGAAAGCTGATAGATCTATGCCTGGTTTCTTTTGATGCATCAACAATGTCTCACTGTGTACACAATACAAAATACAATACTGTATGCAATACTGCATACAATATTAAATGCAATAATGTTTACAATACCGTATATCACACTTCCCAATACTGTATAAAATATTGTGTACAATACAAAATACAATACTGTATGCAATAATGTATACAATAATATTGTATACAATATTAAATGCAATAATGTTTACAATACTGTATATCACACTGCACACAATACTTTATAAAATATACTGTATATCACACTGTTCACAATACTGTATAATATATTGTGTACAATACAAAATACAATACTGTATATCACACTGTTCACAATACTGTGTAACATACCACATTCAATACTGTATACAATTATGAATACAAAACTGCTCACAAAATAGTGAGTGAGTGAGTTTAGTTCAAGCTACAATATTCCAGCTACATTGTATTAGTGTTGGGAATTGGTTAAAATCTCATAATTGATGATTGGTTCATTACTACCGATCAATCATCGAAAATAATTGGTTAGCGTCATTTATGAAATTTGTTAATGCACATAAAAATAAGGAAAAAAAACATGTAGTTCTTTTGGGGGTTTTGGCAAAATTTCATATCTTTAAAGATTAGGAACAATGTTAGGAACATAAATTTCTTGGAATCTTTAAGATAAATTCAATCATGACTTAAAACGAGCTTGTAGTGCTTACGAAATATAACAGACAAAACCAACCATGTGAAAAATATTGTTAGTGAAAACAAGTGTTCCAGAATTGTTTGTGTTCGATTATGAGAAATAATGATCGATTGCTTGGTCGTTTAGTCACTACGACCAATCTTCGATTATTTCAATTAATCGAACCACCACTACATTGTATATGGCAGTGGTCTGTAAATAATCGAGTCTGGACCAGACAATCCAGTGATCAACAGCATGAGCATCGATGTACATAATTGGGGCTCACAATATGGAATACACGCCTTACAATACTACATACATTTTGTGAACAGTACCACCTACAATACTGTACATGATACTAGTTACGATACTACGGACAAAACTGCAGTGTAAGCATGACCATCACAAAAAACATGAGTGCAGTTATTTTCCTTGAATGACTCACCACAGTTTTCCAACAAGAGACAATTGCTTCTGGTAAAGTCATATTTGAAGGGAGGTAACTCTTCCAGAGTTAAATGCAAGGCAAGTTATCAGGATGCAACAGGACAATGTCGAGTCAGGGGGTACATGGTCCATTATTACCAGGAAACATCACGTGTACACTTTCAACTAAATCTGAGGGTCTGGAGGTAATGACCATCAGACTGGACGCTTTTTCACAATTTTTTTTAATACATTCATACCTAAACTAAAACTGACAGAGAGTCCCGTCCTTGTGCCTTCTGATAACAAACATTGATACGAGTCAATAGAATTTAAAACTCTGGCTTCCTGGGTAGTGTCACACTTTCATCAATGACTACTGAAATGTTTAATATTGAAAGATGGAAGGAGAGATTCTATTTATGACTCAAGTTCGTTTTTCCAACTTTTACAGTTTGTAAACAGTGATAAGCAGTGTTTTTAGTCCAGCTAACCAGCTTCAGTGGTAAAGAGATTTGGGATGCAAACTGATCGTCATGGTAACTGATGACATCACAATGGTTTGCAATGAGGCAATTTTAAAGTAGTACGATCTCATAAGAAATATTGCACGAAGTCACCCTGGGGTATCTCCTGTTGCGACCAATGTTGGTAGACAAACATTTTATTGGTTTTTTGTTTTGGATATGATGAGAAATTGAAACAGAAATCATCTGACAACTCAAAAAAAAAAATAAAAAAAATATGAAATGTAAAAAATATTTCCCAACTGAAAAGAAAATCCCCTCCTTTAGCCCCTCAACATGACCTAGTTAAGACGATGAATTGAAATGCATGTTTTGTTATCGTGACATACTAACCCGCCTTGATCCCCATCGTACCACTGGTATCATTTGTCCCTGGCAAGGAGACTGCCCTATATCTATCGATGTGCGAAACACGACAAGCCCAAGAGAATGGGTGCATAACTATCAGGTTTTAGAATACCTTCCTTATGTAAAGACTAATGACTAAAATATCTTGTATATAAAGAAATCTACAAAATAATGACACAATACGAATTTCAAGAAGGGAAATATGTGTTCTGTCAATATTTTGTGGATTTCTTGTGTCATCATTTTGTGGATTTCTTAACGACACAATATGAATTTCATTTCAATTTCTTTTTACATACTCAGCAAATAAAGTTAAGGACCACCACAATATTTAATATTTAAGCATTATATGGATCATAATACGAACTATTACATACTTTGATATTGAAAATTAGGGTGGTCCTTAACTTTTGTTGTTGAGTATATACATACAGTGTGTAGAAACAGCTGCAGTGATATATTTAGAAACTGATGATGGGGCCCAACAAAACTGAATGTTCATCACAGTTTCAAGTTCACTATTCATGTTCATTATTAAATGCCATACTCAGCAATATTCCAGCTGTGAGGGTTGTCTGTAGATATGCTTGGACCAGGCAATCTAGTGATTGACATCAGGAGCATCGTTCTACCGCTATATGCATGAACCAAGTATGCAAGCCTCACAAGATCCTGACAAGAGTTTCTTATGAGACACGGGATCCTTTATACAAATTACAGACCTTCTGTCAACTTTGCCTATTTTTATAATTGTTGCAATTATCTTACTATTTCGCAGAATCAGAGGTAAGTCTTTCAAGTGAGAGATTTTCATTTGAATTTCAAAATCATGATTTTATAGTAAAATTGTAAAAAAAACCTTTTAATATGAATGTAATGATGATTTCTGACCTGTGAAGGTCCTCAACAAACAACGTCCCAACTCATTCTTACATTTCTTCTTTCCTGAAGACAAACAATTACTGTAAAAGAGCCCTTGAATCTCAAAGACATCAACCAGAGAATCTCTTCCTCTGCCACCCGAGATACAGAATGGATTTCTGTGTCCTTATGAAACAAACAAAAGCAGTTATATCACAGCCAATTGAACAAGTTCACTGTTGTGTTGTGTGTCGTGTGTCATGTCGTGTCGTGGCATGACCATCGTCCAATCACAGCAACACTGGCATCTTGTGAGTCAGTCTTCACTACGGAGTGTAGGCAGGCGTTTCTTCATCTCGAAGTAGGATTCGAACCGTGATAAAGCATAGTCCTGAAATTAAAGGATAATTGTCTCGTTACTTTACAAGCAGTTTTGTTGGTTTATTGTTTACAATCTCCGTCATTTTGTCTATGCTTCCATCTCCTGCTCACCAAGTATGTTCATTCCAATGTGAAAAGATAAAACGTTTTCCATCTCGGTTTTCCCTGCCACTGTGGAAATGTTCGCTCTGATGTGATAAATACTTATTTAAGCAAAGCCACTCGATCTACATCATGTATGAATTGAAATCCTGTTTTGAAGTGATCCAAATTCTAAAATTCCATAAAATACGTTGCACATTTGGTTACACAATTTATTGTAACATATGTTATATTTGGGATTACACTTTCTAGAACATTTGTTAGGTTAAGTCCTATCCGGGATTCAAACAAACACTCTAACAAATGGTCATGAAGGCTGACAAATGGTCATGATTTCCGCCAAATGGTCACGATCGCTGAAAAATGGTCACGATCGCTGAAAAATGGTCATGATCTCTGACAAATAGTCATGATCTCTGACAAATGGTCATGATCTCTGACAAATGGTCATGATCTCTAACAAATGGTCATGATTGCAGAAAAATGGTCATGATCTCTGACAAATGGTCATGATCTCTGAAAAATTGTCATGATCTCTAACAAATGCCGTGTGTCTACACTAGAGGATTAATCCAACGACTAGGAACCCGTCACTCAACAGACGGCTCCAGCCTGGAAGTACCATGCGGTTATCAGACCATCATGGAGGTTAAATCCACCAGCAAGGGAATGGTGCTGACAAACAGGTCAGTCTTGGAGTTCAACCCAAGATCATTGGTTCCTGGGAGAATCAAAGGATGGAACTCTGCACAACAAATTGAAAAGCCTAGTGCACTTCCCTTGCCCCAACTTTGAAGTTTGAAGGCATGGAGCATGTTTCGCTAAGTGAATGGTATTGGGTAGCCCAGTGCTTACAGTGCTTGCTCGTCACGCCAAAGACCCAGGTTCGATTCCCTGCACAGGCACAACATGTTTAAACCATTGAGTGTCCCGCACTGTGATATTGCTAGAAAACGATACTCATTCACTCCTGTGTGTGAGACCAGGTTGTTCACTCACCCAATAACCAAACTCGATCTCGCAGGTCTCTGCCTGAATAATGGCCCATGTCCCCCACATGAAGTGGGACCCGAGAGCATAGGTGTTTACTTCTATGTACATCATTGCCAGCTCTGTCTCTGATATGTCTTCTTCCTCACGTCCAAAACTTTTCAGGTACTCTCGGAAAAAAGCATACTGAAACATAAAAAAACTTGTTTAAAAGGGAATTGATCATTATGATACTTTTATACGGACACTGTCACTTAGGGTCATTGATGGTACAAGCCAAATCAAAGACAGTGTACTAGAAACAGGTGACTAGAAAACAACCTGGTGGTACTAGAGCCAACCTTGTGTTTACTTGAGCACATCTGGTGTTTACTAGAGCACATCTGGTGTTTACTAGAGCACATCTAGTACTTACTAGAGCATTTCTGGTGGTTACTAGAGCACAGCTGGAGATTATTAGAGCACATCTGGTGTGTACTCGAGCCCATCTGGTGTTTAATAGAGCCCACCTGGTGTTTAATAGAGCACATCTGTTGTTTACTAATGTGCAGCTGGTGTTTACTAGAGCACATCTGTTGCTTACTGAAACATATCTGGTGTTTACTAGAGGACATCTGCTGTTAGCTAGAGGACATCTGCTGTTTACTAGACCCTCACCATTAATTGTGGAACCCACCTGTTGCTAATTAGAAGAACTCACCTGATGCAAACAAGAACTCACCTGTTGCTAATTAGAAGAACTCACCTGATGCTAACTAGAAAAACTCACCTGCTGCCACTAGAAGAACTCACCTGATGCAAACAAGAACTCACCTGTTGCTAATTAGAATAACTCACCTGATGCAAACAAGAACTCACCTGTTGCTAATTAGAAGAACTCACCTGATGCCACTAGAAGAACTCACCTGTTGCCACTAGAAGAACTCACCTGTTGCCACTAGAAGAACTCACCTGTTGCCACTAGAAGAACTCACCTGTTGTGTCCTTGAAGGATACTGCTCTGGAATGTGGTAGAACATGGGCTCCTCAGGGTTGGTGTAATCATAACAGGACTCTATAAAGTGGTTCCCAATATCAAAGCCCCTGTGGACACAAAATAAGTATTGAAACTCCAACAGTTTAGGCACATGTACCTACATTGTCAAACTGTTCTATGAAGAACCTGTTCAGCTCAACATTAACTCACAAATTTCTTTGTTTTATTGTACAAAATTAATTACATAAATAATTGATAAAATGTTGATAGTACATAAATGTTTAAATAACTGAATTAGGTCTAAGATAGTGCACATAAATACCTTTAATAACTATGTATCAAATTTCCATGTTGAATTTCGAGAGTGCTATGCAGTAATTAGTTTCTCATTCATTCATTCATTCATTCATTCATTGACCACTCCATAGAAGGTATATTAGTTAATGACATACAATTACAGGTAAAAATAACAATATATACAATTTCCATGTTTAATTTCATGGGTGCTATGCAGTAATTAATTTCTCATTCATTCATTCATTCATTCATAGTCCTATTCATAGAATGTATATTAGATAATGACGTACAATTACAGGTAAAAAGATTTACTGCAGCAGCCACAAAATATTCAGATGTGTGCGGCAGTACATCAGTGCAGGAAACATGACCAGCATCGACAAGGAGCATGGATTTCATTCACTCTTCTACACCCATGCAACATCCGACTGTGCCACGACTGTTTAGGCTTAATTTTGTGTTGATAGAACTGAGAAATACTGATATTTCAATGTAAAATGTAAAATGTAAAAAATTAACATCAATGCGGTTAATTTACACGCAAGTCTTTGCCTTCATGATGTTGGTGTACACACTGTATTCATTAATTTGTCATAAACAGTTTGTATGCAAATAAATTAAATCTTCCTGCCTCGGTCAACACGACCCCAGTGTTTCACACAACCCGGGTCACCATAATATCATCCATCCATCATATCGCAGTATCATTCATATCATGATATCATCCAACATACCATGATATCATACATCATATCATGATAGGTGTCCCCCCGCCGTGATACTGCCAGAATATTGCTAAAAGCATACTCACTCATTATGAGTGACATGATACAGTTACTGATATCATGATATCATCCGACATACCATGATTGGTTTTCCACAGTGATGACATGTTTTGGTTTCAACTAACATTTCTGACAAACATTATTTCACAATGTCAAATGTGTTTTCAGTCATGAAGATGGTGTTAAGGTGTCACATGGTCCTGTGCGTGGCGCTCAAGTCACACACTGGCACACTATCGTAAATTTTATGGATAAATCAGTTTCACATAACGCACAATTAAGCAAAATGGCGGCATGTGGTCCTGTTCATAGCACTCAGGTCACAATCAGTTGAAGTTAAGCAACCTCGTAGAGTCCTTGGATGAGTGACTGAGTTTGGCAGCTTGACTCCTGAGAGTTTCTAGGACTTCAGTCCTGCCCCACAATGAAGCACATGTGATACATGTGGTCTCACCTTAGGCAAGTGAGTTTGTTTAAAATTGCCTTTGTTCACCCAGCAGAAAATGGGTACCTGGTGGGATAAAGTTCTATGACTATAACCTTCTAGCACCTAACAGGCAGCTTGCGTAATAATGTTGTGCTGTTTGTGCGTGTTTTGAGCAATCTCCTTTGTGGAGTGACCCGTGAAGGTCCGGGTCTATTAGAATAGCCCTTCAGCAACCCATGCTTGCTATAAAAGGCGACTATGCTTGTCGTAAAAGGCGACTAACGGGATCGGGTGGTCAGGCTCGCTGACTTGGTTGACACATGTCATCGGTTCCCCATTGCGCATATCGATGCTCATGCTGTTGATCACTGGATTGTCTGGTCCAGACTCGATCATTTACAGACCGCCGCCATATAGCTGGAATATTGCTGAGTGCGGCGTAAAACTCAACTCACTCACTCACCTTTGTGGAGTGGCATATTGCATGGTATAAGTAACCTCATTATTATTATTAACAGGGGTTCAAATTTTTTTTAAAGAGCCACTTGCCATAGGGCAAGTGACTTTAAGAAAGTAACTTGTCCTGACTAATTTCACACTTGCCCTGATTTTATGACATAATTATGATGATGTAATTATGAAAGAAGAAATCAACATGGTATTTGATGTTAATGTTTACTGGACTATTTATTGAAAAGTGGTAAATAGCAAAGAAAGATAACTCTACTTTATTATCATTGCAAAATTTAATAGCTACATTTTGAGCAGATATGAAATTGAATCAAAGTTTATTTGCAGTTTGAAACCATAAGTGGAAATTATCTAGTAGCCCACGGACAAGTAAGATTTCATTATTTGATTGCCCGAAATGAAAACTGACTTGTCCCGGGCGTTGGGCGATGGGATTTTTGAACCCCTGTATCATTAAGTTATTGATGAAGAACACCAGCGCATCCCCAGTGTTCAGCCAGCAGCACCCTAGCTACCCACCTGAAGTTGTAGCTGCAGTACTCCCAGTCAATGACAGTCATTTGTCGGGCGGGGTTTGGTTCGTCCTTCAGGTACAAGATGTTTCCTGGAAATATAACCATAATTTCAATAACTTCTGGCATACCTGATCATCTATACAAAGTAACATACTGCTGTGTGAGCACTCTCAATAATATCAGCCCCTTAAATATTTGTTTCGTGTAAGATATGAACATTATTATCCCTCGTTTCACTCTGTCTCCTCCAAGCCATCGTTTGGTCCAAAAGGACAAAGATCAGATTCATACATCTTGAGTGAGTGAGCAAGTTTAGTTTTACGCCGCTTTTAGCAATATTCCAGCAATATTCCAGCAATAGCACGGCGGGGGACACCAGAAAATGGGCCTCACACATTGTACCCATGTGAGGAATCAAACCCGGGTCTTCGGTGTGATGAGCGAACGCTTTAACCACTAGGCTACCCCACCGCCCCTCAAACCTCTTGAACAAATTGGTGTGTCAGCATAAGGTGGAACATTGAGTGAGTGAGTGAGTTTAGTTTTACGCCTCTTTTAGCAATATTCCAGCAATATCATGGCAGGGCACACTAAAAATGGGCTTCACACATTGTACCCATGTGGGGTCTCGAACCCGGTCTTCGGTGTGATGAGTGATCGCTTTAACCACTGGGCTACCCCACCTCCCCCAATTAGTTGGAACAAGCATGACACTTCACTGGTCAAATAGTTTTTAAGCAGACCTTTACAAGAAAGTATGGACAAAGGGAATTATATTTTCTTCTATTTATTATGATTTTGTTTCAGGTGGTCAGTGGGAATATAATGCTGATATTGCTAACAGTACTTTTTACATCAAGATGTACATGGATTTACATCTTGGAATACCCGTGAAGATCTGGGTTAAAATTGATCTTCAGAAAATTGTGTTGTCTTAGACTGGGCCACCCATGCCTCCGTCAAATTGGTAAACAAAAATAGACAAACTATCGTTCTTTTTTTTACCCTTGTCAATATCATCTGATGTGAGATGATATCAAACATAAACTGTATACAGCCTGCCTTGTATGCATTATGCCTCTCACAAAAAATCCATCTCCGACCAAGTTTAAACAATTATGTGTGCTGGAGAATGTTGATTAATGTCAGTGATTGGTGCTGGTTAGACGTAACATCTGGTGATATTGGTTGGCTTTTAACCAGCTGGGGATGATATCATCACCGTGCTCCCACATCAAGGAAAAATCAATAATGACTTGAACTGGGATGATATAGCGCTATATGAAGTTGGAAAATTACACTCATATTCTAGGTGATGTTATCCTGTTATCACCAAGATGCCATGTGTTCATCCAGTCAGGTGTCATGTTATCAACCTGACACCTCATGTGTTCAGACAATGTCATAACTAATTGTTATTAACCAGGACATGCCTTGCCTTCACCTGGTGTTGTATATAATGTTATCATCACGATGTCATGTGTTCATCAAGTCATGTATCATGTTATCAACCAGATGTCATGTGTTCATCAAGTCATGTATCATGTTATCAACCAGGACATGTCATGTGTTCATCAGAGTTATATATCATGTTATCAACCAGGACATGTCATGTGTTCATCAGAGTTATATATCATGTTATCAACCAGGACATGTCATGTGTTCATCAGAGTTATATATCATGTTATCAACCAGGACATGTCATGTGTTCATCAGAGCTATATATCATGTTATCAACCAGGACATGTCATGTTCATCAGAGCTATATATCATGTTATCAGGAGTTATATCAGAGCTATATATCATGTTATCAACCAGGACATGTCATGTGTTCATCAGAGCTATATATCATGTTATCAACCAGGACATGTCATGTGTTCATCAGAGCTATATATCATGTTATCAACCAGGACATGTCATGTGTTCATCAGAGCTATATATCATGTTATCAACCAGGACATGTCATGTGTTCATCAGAGCTATATATCATGTTATCAACCAGACATGTCATGTGTTCATCAGAGCTATATATCATGTTATCAACCAGGACATGTCATGTTTTCATCAGAGATATATCATGTTATCAATATGTCATGTGTTCATCATGTATCATGTTATCAACCAGGACATGTCATGTGTTCATCAGAGTCATGTATCATGTTATCAACCAGGACATGTCATGTGTTCATCAAGTCATGTATCATGTTATCATCAAGATGTCATGTGTTCATCAAGTCATGTATCATGTTATCAACCAGGACATGTCATGTGTTCATCTATATATCATGTTATCAACCAGGACATGTCATGTGTTCATGAGCTATATATCATGTTATCAACCAGGACATGTCATGTGTTCATCAGATATATCATGTTATCAATCAGGACATGTCATGTGTTCATCAGAGCTATATATCATGTTATCAGGACATGTCATGTGTTCATCAGATGTCATGTGTTCATCAGATATATCATGTTATCAACCAGGACATGTCATGTGTTCATCAGAGCTATATATCATGTTATCAACCAGGACATGTCATGTTCATGCTATATATCATGTTATCAACCAGGACATGTCATGTGTTCATCAGAGTTATATATCATGTTATCAACCAGGACATGTCATGTGTTCATCAGAGTTATATATCATGTTATCAACCAGGACATGTCATGTGTTCATCAGAGTTATATATCATGTTATCAACATGTCATGTGTTCATCAGAGTTATATATCATGTTATCAACCAGGACATGTCATGTGTTCATCAGAGTTATATATCATGTTATCAACCAGGACATGTCATGTGTTCATCAGAGTTATATATCATGTTATCAACCAGGACATGTCATGTGTTCATCAGAGTTATATATCATGTTATCAACCAGGACATGTCATGTGTTCATCAGAGTTATATATCATGTTATCAACCAGGACATGTCATGTGTTCATCAGAGTTATATATCATGTTATCAACCAGGACATGTCATGTGTTCATACTGTCAAATCTTATGTGATGCATTTGTCCTATGGGCAGGGATGGCAACATGGAAACATCTATTTCAGTTATATATAATGTTATCAACCAATTGTGTTCATACTGTCAAATGGATGCATTTGTCCTTTGGGAAGGGATGGCAACAGGAAAATCTATTTGCTGAAAACTTATAAATGGATCATAGAAAATTGCCAATTGATCAAGTTGAAATAAAAGGAAAATTGCCATCCCTTTATAGACGACCTACAGTGAGGGTACGAGTAAATCTTTGTCAAGCGATGAGGGGTGGTAGGGTAGCCTAGTGGTTAAAGCTTTCACTTGCCATGACAAAGACCTGGGTTCGATTCCCCACATGGGCACAATGTGTGAAGCCCATTTCTGGTGTCCCCTGCCGTGATATTGCTGGAATATTGCTAAAAGCGGCGTAATAATCTAAATTCACTCATTCACTTGTCAAGCAATGTGTTCATGCTATTGACATTCCAACAAAAATAAGTACAATTACAGCTATGGATGTCATGACAACAAGAATCACAAGACAAAATGTATTGCCATCCTTCCTCCAGGATATACTGATGTAACAACAAGAATCACAAGAGAAAATGTATTGCCATACTTCCTCCAGGATATACTGATGTAACAACAAGAATCACAAGACAAAATGTATTGCCATACATCCTCCAGGATATACTGATGTAACAACAAGAATCACAAGACAAAATGTATTGCCATACTTCCTCCAGGATATACTGATGTAACAACAAGAATCACAAGACAAAATGTATTGCCATACTTCCTCCAGGATATAACAACAAGAATCACAAGACAAAATGATGTAACATAACAGGATATCTGATGTAACAACAAGAATCACAAGACAAAATGTATTGCCATACATCCTCCAGGATATACTGATGTAACAACAAGAATCACAAGACAAAATGTATTGCCATACATCCTCCAGGATATACTCCTAACAACAAGGATATACTGATGTAACAACAAGAATCACAAGACAAAATGTATTGCCATACATCCTCCAGGATATACTGATGTAACAACAAGAATCACAAGACAAAATGTATTGCCATACTTCCTCCAGGATATACTGATGTAACAACAAGAACACAAGAATGCCACAAGACAAAATGTATTAGGATATACTGATGTCCAAGAATCACAAGGATATACTGATGTAACAACAAGAATCACAAGACAAAATGTATTGCCATACTTCCTCCAGGATATACTGATGTAACAACAAGAATCACAAGACAAAATGTATTGCCATACATCCTCCAGGATATACTGATGTAACAACAAGAATCACAAGACAAAATGTATTGCCATACTTCCTCCAGGATATACTGATGTAACAACAAGAATCACAAGACAAAATGTATTGCCATACATCCTCCAGGATATACTGATGTAACAACAAGAATCACAAGACAAAATGTATTGCCATACTTCCTCCAGGATATACTGATGTAACAACAAGAATCACAAGACAAAATGTATTGCCATACATCCTCCAGGCCATACTTCCTCCAGGATATACTGATGTAACAACAAGAATCACAAGACAAAATGTATTGCCATACTTCCTCCAGGATATACTGATGTAACAACAAGAATCACAAGACAAAATGTATTGCCATACATCCTCCAGGATATACTGATGTAACAACAAGAATCACAAGACAAAATGTATTGCCATACATCCTCCAGGATATATACTGATGTAACAACAAGAATCACAAGACAAAATGATTGCCAAAATGTACTTGTAACAACATCACAAGACAAAATGTATTGCCATCCTCCAGGATATACTGATGTAACAACAAGAATCACAAGACATGTAAATGTATTGCCATACATCCTCCAGGATATACTGATGTAACAACAAGAATCACAAGACAAAATGTATTGCCATACTTCCTCCAGGATATACTGATGTAACAACAAGAATCACAAGACAAAATGTATTGCCATACTTCCTGTATGATACTGATGTAACAACAAGAATCAAGACAAAATGTATTGCCATACTTCCTCCAGGATATACTGATGTAACAACAAGAATCACAAGACAAAATGTATTGCCATACATCCTCCAGGATATACTGATGTAACAACAAGAATCACAAGACAAAATGTATTGCCATACTTCCTCCAGGATATACTGATGTAACAAATAACTAATACAACATAATTTGGTCAAAATCGTGAATCTTACCTTCTTGTAGATCATTATGACAAAAGACGACTGGAGAGCGTACCCTTGACAAGATTAGCCTGAAAATAGACCAATTTCATTCTGGTCAAGGGATGTTAAGTAGAACATCAGTGAACACATACATAGGTACCAAAGCAATACATATAATCTTAAAAATGCTCTATACAGCGTCAAGTAAACTGACAAAATACACGTGAATGAATTCATGTAAAGTATGTCATAAACTGATTAATGACTATCAATGGATTTTTTCATGAATTAGTCAATTACATCTATAAATATTAATCAATATTTCATTCAATTACAGAGCCAGCTGATCAAGATGTTTATAGGATTTCATCTACATGTTAGCGGCATACTTGTAAATGTTATCAAAGTTATAGAAAGATATGAACTCACAATAATTCTTTAAACTCCTGCTCTAAATTGAATGCCATAAGTTTCCTCATTTTTGGATTGGTTTCTGTATGTTTGGAAAAATTATTCTTGATTTCTGCCAGCCATCTGAAAAAGGCAAAAGAACAAGGTCATCTAAGTGTGCTGGTTTTGAATGATTTCACTTTTTTTTACACTTTTCAAACTTATTTGGTATGTTGAACAACCAACAAAACCTATTCTGATACCTCATTCAGACAATGCTATAGAAATCATTGTTTTACAATCTGAACAAAATATTTCTTGTCCATCGACACCTATTTGTCAATAGAGCTGTGATATCATCCTGCTGAAACATGATTGATCAATGCACACTTGAAACTTGGTGATATCATCTTTCACTTAGTCACACTGACACTTTATGGCCAACACAGCTGTGATATATTTCTAACTATTCACACTGTTTGATCAATATAGTTATGATATCATCTCATACAGACACACTGTTTTGTGTCAACATAGCTCTGATATCATCCCTCCCATTCCACTGTTTTGTGTCAACATGGCTCTGATATCATCCCTCCCATTCCACTGTTTTGTGTCAACATGGCTCTGATATCATCCCTCCCATTCCACTGTTTTGTGTCAACATAGCTCTGATATCATCCCTCCCATTCCACTGTTATGTGTCAACATAGCTCTGATATCATCCCTCCCATCCCACTGTTTTGTGTCAACATGGCTCTGATATCATCCCTCCCATTCCACTGTTTTGCGTCAACATAGCTCTGATATCATCCCACTGCTTTGTGTCAACATGGCTCTGATATCATACCTCCCACTCCACTGTTTTGTGTCAACATGGCTCTGATATCATCCCTCCCATTCCACTGTTTTGTGTCAACATAGCTCCGATATCATCCCTCTCATTCTACTGTTTTGTGTCAACATAGCTCAGATATCATCCCACACATTCCACTGTTTTGTGTCAACATAGCTCTGATATCATCCCTCCCATTCCACTGTTTTGTGTCAACATAGCTCTGATATCATCCCACTGCTTTGTGTCAACATGGCTCTGATATCATCCCTCCCATTCCACTGTTTTGTGTCAACATAGCTCTGATATCATCCCTCCCATTCCACTGTTTTGTGTCAACATAGCTCTGATATCATCCCTCCCATTCAACTGTTTTGTGTCAACATGGCTCTGAGATCATCCCTCCCATTCCACTGTTTTGTGTCAACATAACTCTGATATCATCCCTCCCATTCCACTGTTTTGTGTCAACATAGCTCTGATATCATCCCTCCCATTCCACTGTTTTGTGTCAACATAGCTCTGATATCATCCCACTGCTTTGTGTCAACATGGCTGATATCATCCCTCCCATTCCACTGTTTTGTGTCAACATAGCTCTGATATCATCCCTCCCATTCCACTGTTTTGTGTCAACATAGCTCTGATATCATCCCTCCCATTCAACTGTTTTGTGTCAACATAGCTCTGATATCATCCCCTCCCATTCCACTGTTTTGTGTCAACATAGCTGATATCATCCCTCCCATCCCACTGTTTTGTGTCAACATGGCTCTGATATCATCCCTCCCATTCCACTGTTTTGTGTCAACATGGCTCTGATATCATCCCACTGCTTTGTGTCAACATGGCTCTGATATCATCCCTCCCATTCCAGTTTTGTGTCAACATAGCTCTGATATCATCCCTCCCATTCCACTGTTTTGTGTCAACATAGCTCTGATATCATCCCTCCCATTCCACTGTTTTGTGTCAACATAGCTCTGATATCATCCCTCCCATTCAACTGTTTTGTGTCAACATAGCTCCGATATCATCCCTCCCATTCCACTGTTTTGTGTCAACATAGCTCTGATATCATCCCTCCCATTCCACTGTTTTGTGTCAACATAGCTCTGATATCATCCCTCCCATTCCAACTGTTTTGTGTCAACATAGCTCTGATATCATCCCTCCCATTCCACTGTTTTGTGTCAACATAGCTCTGATATCATCCCACTGCTTTGTGTCAACATAGCTCTGATATCATCCCACTGTTTTGTGTCAACATGGCTCTGATATCATCCCTCCCATTCCACTGTTTTGTGTCAACATAGCTCTGATATCATCCCTCCCATTCCACTGTTTTGTGTCAACATAGCTCTGATATCATCCCTCCCATTCCACTGTTTTGTGTCAACATGGCTCTGATATCATCCCTCCCATTCCACTGTTTTGTGTCAACATAGCTCTGATATCATCCCTCCCATTCCACTGTTTTGTGTCAACATAGCTCTGATATCATCCCTCCCATTCCACTGTTTTGTGTCAACATAGCTCTGATATCATCCCTCCCATTCCACTGTTTTGTCAACATAGCTCTGATAACTTCCCACTTATTCCACTGTTTTGTGTCAACATGGCTCTGATATCATCCCTCCCATTCAACTGTTTTGTGTCAACATAGTTCTGATACCATCCCAACCATTCAACTGTTTTGTGTCAACATAGCTCTGATATCATCCCTCCCATTCCACTGTTTTGTGTCAACACAGCTCTGATATCATCCCACTTATTCCACTGCTTTGTGTCAACATAGCTCTGATATCATCCCTCCCATTTCACTGTTTTGTGTCAACATAGCTCTAATAACATCCCTCCCATTCCACTGTTTTGTGTCAACATAGCTCTGATATCATCCCACCCATTCCACTGTTTTGTAAAGAGCTGATATCATCCCACTGTTTTGTCAACAGAGCACTGATATCATCCCACTGTCTTGTCAACATAGCTCTGATATCATCCCTCCCATTCCACTGTTTTGTAAAGAGCTGATATCATCCCACTGTTTTGTCAACAGAGCACTGATATCATCCCACTGTCTTGTCAACAGAGCTGTGATATCATCTCATACAGACACACTGTCTTGTGTCAACATAGCTCTGATATCATCCCACCCATTCCACTGTTTTGTCAAACGAACTCTGAGATCATCCCACTGTTTTGTCAACAGAGCTCTGATATCATCCCACGCATCCAACTGTTTTGACAAACGAACTCTGAGATCATCCCACTGTTTTGTCATCAGAGCTCAGATATCATCCCACCCATATAACTGTTTTGTCAAGAGCTCTGATATCATCCCACTGTCTTGTCAACAGAGCTGTGATATCATCTCATACAGACACACTGTCTTGTGTCAACATAGCTCTGATATCATCCCACTGTTTTGTCAAACAAACTCTGAGATCATCCAACTGTTTTGTCAAAGCGAACTCTGAGATCATCCCCCACTGTTTTGTCAACAGAGCTCTGATATCATCCCAGTTTTGTCAACAGAGCACTGATATCATCCCATTGTCTTGTCAACAGAGCTGTGATATCATCTCATACAGACACACTGTCTTGTGTCAACATAGCTCTGATATCATCCCACCCATTCCACTGTTTTGTCAAACGAACTCTGAGATCATCCCACTGTTTTGTCAACAGAGCTCTGATATCATCCCACGCATCCAACTGTTTTGACAAACGAACTCTGAGATCATCCCACTGTTTTGTCATCAGAGCTCAGATATCATCCCACCCATATAACTGTTTTGTCAAGAGCTGATATCATCCCACTGTCTTGTCAACAGAGCTGTGATATCATCTCATACAGACACACTGTCTTGTGTCAACATAGCTCTGATATCATCCCACCCATCCCACTGTTTTGTCAAACGAACTCTGAGATCATCCCACTGTTTTGTCAAACGAACTCTGAGATCATCCCACTGTTTTGTCAACAGAGCTCTGATATCACCCAACCATCCCACTGTTTTGTCAAAAGAGCTCTCATATCACCCCTGCTATCCCACTGTTTTGTCAACAGAGCTCTGATATCATCCCACTGTTTTGTCAATATAGCTGTGATATCGTCCCTCCAAGACATTCACACACAGAAGTATGCAATATCCTCCTACCCTTCCACGATGTTCTTGAGCCAGCGTGGTTCTTTGCACAGCGGCATGTCCAGTTGATGGAACTGTGCCAACTTCCTGGCGATAAGGCGAGATATCGATGGTATCGACAATTCCGATGTTGATAAGGCTCGTGTCTACAACAGGAATGACTCAATAAGTAAAGTATGTTCTTTGCCAATTCACCAATTCAACACTTCTTGCTAAGTATAGATATCTGTATGTGTTTTGCTTTTATCGAGTTTGGTATAATGTTTGTGTGTGCGTGCATGTTGCGTGCATGTTGATGGTTTCAACAGGTCCGATGTTGACAAGGTCTGTGTCTACAACAGAGATGAGTGAGTGAGTGAGTAAAGTATGTTCTGTACCATTGTCAATGATTCGACATTACAGTGGTACACTAAGTAACCACAACGGACAACCAGTACAAGCATGACAATCAGTACAAGCATGACAACTAGTACAAGCATGACAACCAGTACAACCAGTACAAGCATGACAACCAGTAAAAGCATGACAACCAGTACAGTCAGTATAAGCATGACAACCAGTAGAACGATGACAATCAGTACAACCATGACAACCAGTACAAGCATGACAACCAGTACAGTCAGTACAAGCATGACAACCAGTAGAAGCATGACAACCAGTACAAGCATGACAATCAGTACAACCAGTAGAAGCATGACAACCGGTACAACCAGTACAAGCATGACAACTAGTACAACCAGGACAAGCATGACAACCAGTAGAAGCATAACAACCGGTACAACCAGTACAAGCATGACAACTAGTACAACCAGGACAAGCATGACAACCAGTAGAAGCATGACAACCGGTACAACCAGTACAAGCATGACAACTAGTACAACCAGGACAAGCATGACAACCAGTAGAAGCATGACAACAGGTACAACCAGTACAAGCATGACAACTAGTACAACCAGTACAAGCATGACAACCAGTACAAGCATGACAATCAGTACAACCAGTAGAAGCATGACAACCGGTACAACCAGTACAAGCATGACAACTAGTACAACCAGGACAAGCATGACAACCAGTAGAAGCATGACAACCGGTACAACCAGTACAAGCATGACAACTAGTACAACCAGGACAAGCATGACAACCAGTAGAAGCATAACAACCGGTACAACCAGTACAAGCATGACAACTAGTACAACCAGGACAAGCATGACAACCAGTAGAAGCATAACAACCGGTACAACCAGTACAAGCATGACAACTAGTACAACCAGGACAAGCATGACAACCAGTAGAAGCATGACAACAGGTACAACCAGTACAAGCATGACAACTAGTACAACCAGTACAACTAGTACAAGCATGACAAGCATGACAACTAGTACAAGCATGACAACTAGTACAAGCATGACAACTAGTACAAGCATGACAACTAGTACAAGCATGACAACTAGTACAAGCATGACAACCGGTACAACCAGTACAAGCATGACAACCGGTACAACCAGTACAAGCATGACAACTAGTACAACCAGTACAAGCATGACAACCAGTTCAAGCATGACATGACCAAGATAACTGCTATACAAAAGGCATAGATCGAGGCATGGGGAACTTAAATAAGGAGAGTAAAACCCTACTTGCACCTGGTGCAGCCTTAGGTAATAACCTTGTTCCACCAGACAAAAACAGGTTGCACTGCTGCTCAATATGACATTATACAATATGTCATGCATGGGTTTTGGTATTGACGATTTAGAACATTATCATAACAAAATTGAGGAGATCATTTTATCTTCTTAAATTTCATGACATGAACATGATGAATAATAGCAATCTCTGGTTCACTGACCATGTAGTCATCAGAGTTGCTGTTCCAAGCTCGTTCCTCATCATTCTATTTTCCAGGTAAGTCAGCGTTCTTTGTACAACAAAGTATTAACAATGGCTTCAAATTGGTATAAATAGCAGGTTGCATTTGTAGTTTCAGTTCACTTCAGTTCTAAATGTTTAAATCGAGCCCTAATATCTATCTCGTGCAAAATTAAATATGACCTATTATTAAACACCATCCACCTAATCCAAACAGCCACAAACATGCCTTGACAGGAATCACAATGATATACATATTGATGAGCTTGTCATCGTACAGTGAATCCATATACATGCAGAACACTCTCGTTAAGTGGCAATTCAAGCGATTCAAGATTCAAGTATCTCCTTATCTGGTGATGTGAGGTTAAATGGAGTTTAACGACCTGGGTATCGAACCACTGATGTCCTGCACTCTTAGAGATGCTCTTTCCTTACCTGGAATCTGGCTCAGGTTTTTATTTACCACCAATAACATTTCATATGATTGCTGAGGTTGCTGAGGTCAAAATAATGAATCCATGAATTTGGATATTTCAAAGCCCAGCTTATTCCCCAATACTAGTGTTGGGAATCGGAAACTAAATCCACTATCATTTATCGGAGGATTGTGGTGAACTGTTATCGATTATAATCGAAATATATACATTTTTAATGTAATCACCAATTTTAAGGGTTTTTTCCCAGTTTTTTTCTAATTAATGCTTGTTTTATATAACTAATGCTGTCATGCAATGAAATGCATGCATGCAAGAAAGACACTGGAATTGTAATTAAACAATAAAAGTGGTTTAAATGTTACAATGTGTATAGCTTTACGCTGTTGAGTGCATGTTTGTTCGTGAATATTCGTCAAATTTGATGGTTAGTTTACTTCATTCAAGGGTGTTATACAAAAAACAACAAAATTCTGATTAATCAAAAATATGTTGTTTACAATCGATAATCATTTTTAATCCTTCTTTCGATTGATTTTCGATTATTTTTTATCATCGGAACATCACTACCCAATACAGACAAGACAGATAGATATGCATGGAATATCATTTTTATCATTCATTAGAGAGATGATACCAACATAAGGATGATAAACAAGTGAGTGAGTGAGTGAGTGAGTGAGTGAGTGAGTGAGCTTTTACACTGCTTTTAGGAATATTCCAACAATATCACGACGAGGGGCACAAGAAATGGGCTTCACACATGTTAGAAAACAGGGAATCAAACTCAGATCTTCAGCAAGACGAGGAAACACTTTAACCACTAGGCTACCCCCAAGTCTGATACAGCAAATAAAAGTTGCTTTCTCTTCAGCTTCCATTGACTTATTTGGTTCAGCCTACATTAATAAAGATGCTTGTTCAATTATTGCAGTACTTTAAGAAGATTGTGTATACTTACGTTCAAATGATACTCAAATTGGTTTAAACAAAATACCACAGGGGTCAAGATAAACTTTGAATGAAGCAAATATTGTTTTAAAAACAACACATTTTGCAATTTAATATTTGCTATTTAAATATGAAATATGCATGAAAATGTAAAAAATCCAATTGTACAACATGTGTATAATTATATAACTTTCACAGCTAGCGTACCTAATGTAGCCTTTCTAGCTAGCATACCTGTGTTTCTTTACACAAGTTCACTGAATTAATACAGGCATGAAACATACATTTACTTCTTCAGCGTGCGATTTCACTCTTTACAACCTGCAGTGATAAAGGTTAACAATGGCTGGTGCAGGTTACCTTCAGTAACAGGTTGAACCTGGTGCAGGTAACAATACATCCTCCAACATTTTACAACTGTCATCGTGTGTTCAATTGGGAAGAAAGTGACTGGAAGTAATACGTTAACAATGAACCTGGTGCAGGTAACAATACATCCTCCAACATCTTACAACTGTCATCGTGTGTTCAATTGGGAAGAAAGTGACTGGAAGTAATACGTTTCTCTCCGCATGACTTGTTACAAGCATAAATATTTGTGTACTATCAAATCAGTAATGTAGCAGTAATATTGATATAATTGAGATTTATAAACAAAGGTCAGGCAAAACTGAAACAGAATCATTCATCATTTATCATCATGGGGTCATGTTCTGTTGAATGTATGTGATACTGAGGACTTGTTATGTATATGTTACTTTTTAGAACCAGTGACATTATTTTATGGTGCAACCAAAATTTTGATGGTGCAGCCAAATCTGTAAACCAGGTTTCACTCGGTGCAGGTACTAAATCACACCCTGTTCTTATGAATGCTTCACATAAGTGCTGTATTCCAATTGTGTAGATCGATGCTCATGATGTTGATCACTGGATTGTATGGTTCAGACTTGATTTTTTACAGACCGCCAGAATATTGCTGAGTTTGGGTTAAAACTAAACTTATTCACTCACATAAATGCCTTGTCTTGCTTCATCAACTCGCCTGGGTTCGATAACCCAGATGGGCACAATGTGTGAAGCTCATTTTTGGTGTCCCCCGCCGTGATATTGCTGGATTATTGCTGAAAGCAGCGTAAAACTACACTCACTCATAAACTCGTCATGCGTATGCCTGTTTTCTGCTTATGCGACCCAGGCTCGAGGTAATTTTTGAGCTGACAAGTAATTACACACGTTTTATCATTCCCACTTAGGGTATTGTCACTTTCCTTTGAGGAGTCAATATATATTTACCTCTTGGGTCAAAGCTTTCACACCTGTGAGTGGTTCGTGGAGGTTGTTTGAGGTGAGGTCTAATCAACATGCTGATGAGTCAGGTGTGTGTGTTGTTGCAGATTCTCACGACAGCGATGTGCGTGTCTATAGGACAATGACCTCAAATACCGCATCTGTATTATTTGCTTCACTTGAGTTAATTATATGTTACGTTGACCTGTACTTCCACTGAGAGCAACATTCCAACTAAAACACTGTACTTCAAAACACTATAGGTCTCACTATTGATTTACGAAATGTTCTTATGCATATTTGAGTGAGTGAGTGAGTGAGTGAGTGAGTGAGTGAGTGAGTGAGTGAGTGAGTGAGTGAGTGAGTAGGTGGGTGAGTGAGTTTTTACACCCCTTTTAGCAATATTCCAGCAATATCATGGCGGGGACACCAAAATGGGCTTCACACATTATACCCATGTGGGAAATTGAACCCAGGTCTTCAGCATGACGAGTGGACGCTTTAACCACTAGGCTACCCCTCCGCCCCATATTTGAATGAAAGCAACTAAGTGAGTGAGTGACAGACAGAGTGAGTGAGTGGGTGGTGAGTGAGTCTGT